CCACAACTTCATGCAGGTCTTGGAAGGGCATCCCCACAGGCTCTGGCTCCGTGACGATGCCCTCGTCCGTCACGCTCGACTCATGACCCGACAGCTCCTCCACAGATTTCCTGCGAGCAAGGTTCTCCTCCGACTCCACTTCCTTCAAACACCGTGTGCTCTCCGCCCGTCCCCGAAGGGTTGCGTCTGTCGTCCCTGTCGATGCCACCACCTCGGCGCCCTCCACACTTCCACTGTCCTTCTGCTCGGCCATGAAGCCATAGTCCTGCTGGGAACCCATCCTGCTGATCTTCTCAAAGACCTGCCTCGCCTCCTGGATGTACTGGTCCTGGATGACCATGGGGAGAGCATCCTCATCCACCTGCTGTCCCTCATCTGAAGCCACCCGGTCCTGGCTGTTGGCAGTGGCCAGGAGGAGCTCAGAGGAGCTCTGCTTCATGGTGTTCTGTAGGAAAAGCCGCCGTGTCCCCGATTTTTCGGAGCAGGTGAAGGACTTGGCGCGCCGCAAAGTGGCCGTCAGGTCCTTGAGCGTTGGCCGCTCGCCTGGCGCCCAGCGGCTGGGGGGCTGAGCAGCACTGCGGCTGCCCGGGGAGGGGTTGGTGATGCCGGAGCAGCCGTCGGAAGCCGCATCGAGGCCTATCCTCACCCCTTTCTTCTTCACCTTCAGCTCTGAGAGGTCTGATTTGAGGAAGCTGAGGAGCGTCAGGGTCTCGGTGGCGATGTCGGGGTTGGACAAGGACTTGCGGTGCTTGGCCTGCTCCCCTTCCAGCCCCGGCTGGTGCAGGCTCTCGCTCCCAAAGTCCGTTTTTGCCTTGGCCGTGCCCTGCGAAAGCTTGGGACGAACACGGACCACCGGCTGTCCCCATGCCAGGCTATCGCTCGTCCCGAAACTGGGGGATCGATAGATGCCATAACTCGCCTGGAGAGTCCGTCCTTGATTGGGCCAACAGCCCCCAAACTGTTCCTCTTCCTTCAGCGTCTCCGTGCTGGAATAACGACCTG